GCCAGAGCTAAAACCCTTCCCCCCCGCTCCCATTGTCAAAACAGTTAAACCCTTCCTCTGGTTTTCTCGCTCCTTTCCTGGGGGGGGGAGGTGTCCCCTGTACTCCTCATTGAGCTTGACGTCGATCAAATCCAGTTCATAACCATTCTCTTCTACTGATCTATCATGGAGGAAAACAGATAGAAGCAGACACAAGAGGGAGAAGGAGAAGAAGAAGAAGAAGAAGAAGAAGAAGAAGAAGAAGAAGAAGAAGAAGAAGCAGAAGAGGAGGAAGCGAGGGTAGGGAAATCGCAAGAGGAGAAATTAGAACGATTCCCAGGTATTTCACCTTTTGCGTTCATGCTTTCGATTAAATTCAATATTTTCTATATATCAGTGACGACAACTAGTAGCCTATTAAGATAATCGAGTGAACCTAGGGCACAGTTCGAAGGGAAAAAACTGGAATCGGAATACGTAAAAGATATTGGAAATGAAAAGTTACGCCTCCCTAAAAGAACCTTTCCCTCAAGGCTCGAAACTTTGGAACCTCAGCTGAAAATCACTTTTGGTTCTCCCATTTAGAGTCGCTGGGGAGTGATCCTTCCGCTAGACTAACAGCTGAACCATGAAGCAGATATAATACTTTAGGAAAGGCCGATAGGCAATTGAGGATTACAAGTGCGGCTACAACTTTGGTTAAACATTTTTTTCTTCTTGGTTATTTCAACCTAATCTGGCTACTGATTTAGGTGTTTTCTTCTCTCGTCTGGTTATTTCATTATTAATGTTGTTTTCAGTAGAAATCTTAGATTTCACTTTATGGATTAAATTCCTACGGTGTTAATGATGGATACAGTCAGGAAAATTACTGTTGTAGATAGATATCATAAGGGCTTTTATCCTTAAATGCATAAATATTCTGTTTCATCTCTTCATTCCCATTGTGATGTATGCCTGGGATATAGTAATGTGTTGAATAATGTAGAATAGTCCTTTTCTTTTTTCTTTTGGGCAGGACAGTTTATTCTTCTTTTGCCCATTTATCGTTTATCTTGTTGTGTTTGGTAAGATTTAGGTCATGTTTGATATTATTCATTTTTCTACTTTTTGGGACAGTACCGTTTGTGTTTTCTTGATTTTATTTTAGGGGCACGTGATGGATATTTCGGAAGATGTGGGCTATCTATGGTTGTCACAAGGATTCCTGGAGGTTATCATATGTTATTTACTGAACTATATGATTACAGATAAAAAAAAAAGCTCTTTTGGATGGACTTCTGAAATGGTGTGTGATCTTCTAAAGATTAAGTGAGCATAGTGGGTTTGTGCTAACTAGGGAGATATTCAGTTAATAACTGAAGTTGTGTTGTTAAATATGTCCTCTTTTTATGATACATGTAAAATCAAGGCAAAAGGGTTGGGTAATTTATCTCGGTCACCTTAAATTCAATTCTCTTTGCTCTCTTGAAAATCCTGGATCAGGAATTTGTGGATTTTTTAAGAAATTATATGGAAGTGATTGTGAGATTATTTGGAAGGAAATTTATGGTGAATGGAATGATGTGTTAATAACTAACAGTATGTTATTAAATATATCCTCTTTTAAGATATATATGAAATTAAATAAAAAGGATTTAGTAATTTCTCCTGGTAACATTAAATTGATTTCTGTTTGATCTCTTGAACATCCTAGATTGGATGAAATTGCTGGTGTTCTGAGAGATCCTAGGGAGGTAGTCCGAGATTGGTTTTAAAGGAAAATTCAGGTGGATGAATCAATTCAAGCTGAATTACTAGCTTTAAGGGAAGCAGCTACGTTCTTAGCCAAGATGCATCAGATTGAATCAAATCATATTGTGATGGAGTGTAACCTACTTTGGTGATCTTATGGATGAAAAACCAAGCATTTGGCCTAAAGATTGAGGATAATTTCTCGCACTTTCGTATTCTAATTGATTGTCATATTGTTAGGGACAAGTTATTTTACTATTACCCCAGCAAATCGGGAGGTTTAACTGACTCACCTGTTATCTTGTAAGTAATATATTTGCTTTGCTGTTTAAAGAACTATAAAGATTTTTATTGTTTTAAACAATTTCATACATGGACATTTCTGCTAATTACCAAATAATATAAGTTATTTCTTTTTTATTTTATATATTTAAGTTATTATATGTGGATTGTCTTGCATGGCACTGCAGCAGTGACGTTAGCTATAAAAGTGCAAAATCTAAAAGATTATCTACTGTATTACGTAAGTCTAGGCTGATAAAAACTTGAAAAGAGTCAAATGTGCTGTTATTGTTGAAGCGGTAGGTTTTCTCGTTCAATTTTGCAGTTTGTTACGATGCCTGCTGCTGAACTTATGGTACCCAAGAGGCTGAAGATCAAATTTGGCAACCGGAGAATTAAAGAGATCAATATTGTTAATTCTGAATGTGATAAATCTGTTACTACAAATTCTGTCTCTAAAGTGCGTCCTTCTTCTGATGGCAATAAGAAGTCTGTGGTTCAATCTTCTGGTAGCAAGAAGCTGTCTTCTGTCGACATTTCAAATGACCAATTCTTTGTGCAAGGTGTGAACAAGCGTAGATCTCAAGAATTAACTGAGGATCAACTGAAAAAGAGGCAGAAGATGGATCGCAGTTCTACACAGCAGTGTTCCCATCTTCTTCAAATTCTGATGAGGCATCGGTTTGGCTGGATTTTTAATCAACCTGTAGATCCTGTTAAATTGAAGATTCCTGATTATTTTTCTGTAATTTCTAAGCCAATGGATCTTGGAACAATTAAGTCAAATTTGGATAACAATATTTACCTTGGACTGGAGGCATTTGCAGCTGACGTCAGACTCACATTTTCGAATGCCATGATTTACAATCCCCCATCAACTGATGTTCATCAAATGGCAAAGGAGCTCCTAGAGCTTTTTGAGTTGAGATGGAAATCTGTAGAGGAGAAAGGAATTGGACGAAACAGTGGTCTGAGAAAAATTGATGAGACAAGAGAGAGCAATCCTAAAACACCTCAATTGTGCAGGAGTTCCGTGCTGAAGAGGCCAAAACGAGGTGAAAAGGCTGTGAGGAATTCTGAGGCATCTACAGTGGTATCACAGGTATTTTTCACTATATGTGCTCGGCAGCATTTGAATTTTATTCATAACAAAAGAATTTAGCACCTTTATTGTCTATGCCTATGAAGGCATGGGAATTACATTCGCGGTGTGTTTTGGATTACTAATCATGTTATATTTTTGGAGTTTGCATGGTTCTCTACTTTCTCTGACTTATAGATGCTCTTTGTTCATAGGTTGAGGGGCTTCCTAAAGCAGCTCAGAACCCTGCAACCAAGTTGTTTGGTCAGAGTTTACTTAAAGGTAGATCTAGTGACTATGTTTTCTGTTTTATAGTTCTTCGTAGAAGCTAATTCGCAAAATGCTGTAATAGGTGATAATAAGGGTGCCTGGCATGCATGTGGCTTTGCCTATGTGAAGGCACCATTGAGCCTAGTCTCCTGTTTTGTGGTTCAACTTATGTCCACAAGTGATGAGTTGTTACTTTCTAAATCATACACCCTTAAAGCGGGGACGTTCCACAGTCTCCCTCCCCCCACCCAACTTCTGGGTTCGGGTACTTAAAGTGACCCATTTCATTTTTTTCCTAGGTTCAGATATCACTTTGGATAAATCCCATGAAGATCAGCCCTGTGGTGTTGAAGCTTCAGAACAGGTAGATACAGTTTCTTTTCATGTTATATATCTCAGTTGACTCAATACTAATGTGTAAGTCATTTTTTCTATTTGAATACTACATTATCAGGCAAGAAGCTTTCCAGCAACACAAAGGAGCATGTCGGATTCACATTCTGATGGTGAGAACTTGTTCTCATTTGAAGCATCTAATTTTCCACCATGTTGCAAGTTCTGAGTATTGGCATGGTGTGTGAGATATATATCAATGCAGGGACAGTGACTTCTGTTGATGATGCAAATGTGTGTTCTGTTTCTCAGCCCACAGTTCCCCTGGCTGATGCTGCTTCTGGAGAAGGTAGTCTATCTACTATTGATGCTTGAATTGGTTCTAAATGCTTGCATCTTAACTTGTTTTTACCAGGCCAAGAACAAAAAGCATTCATAGGTTTTGACCTTGGTGTTTTCTTGTATATTATATAGGATTGACAATCCAAATGTTTGATGTTCAAATGTCACCAAAAAAATCTCTCCGAGCAGTACTGCTAAAGAGTCGCTTCGCGGACACTATCTTGAAAGCAAAACAGAAAACACTCCTTGGCCATGTGAGTTTTTCTTATTACTAATTGCTGGAAAGCAAATAGTTTGAATGCTGCATGGGCATTTTTAGGTCTTTGTCTGTTCATATGCTTGCTTAGAAAGTACTCTAATTTACTCTATACAGAGGAATAGAGCTGATCAAGCAAAGATGCAGGAGGAGAAAGAAAAACTGGAGAAGAGGCACCAGGAAGGTGATTCACGCGCTTAAATACCACTAGTTCGCGCCCAATGATTGGGACATCATATTTCTTTTAGGTTTCTCGATCTTCTGCCAAATTTTCATATTTTTCTTGGCAACCTTCTAAAACTTCTAGTCCTTTAGAAGTAAGTTCCTATCATGATAATCTTTGTGGAAGGATACATTTAAGCTAGGATGTTTTATTACTTCTATGTTGGCAAAAATCCACTTTGTATTTGATTATTCTATTCTGTTTTTTTTTTTTTTACAGAGAAAGCTAGAATTGAAGCCGAAATCCGAGCTGCTTCAGCTGCCTCACAGATTGAGTTGAGGAGGCAACGGGAAAGAGATAGAGAAACTGCTCGAATTGCACTGCAGAAGGTTTGCATTTGACTCGCTGTCTTTGTTTTTGTTAATGCAAGTTAGAAAGAGTACTATTGACATGATGGTGTCGTATTTTCAGATGGGGAAGACTGTTGAGTTTGAAGATAATCTGAAGGTTCTAAAAGAACTCGAGTCACTGTCTAAGTGTTCCTTGTATTACCCAATGCGAGGGCGTAAAAATGGTAGTTCCAAGCATCCACTGGAGCAGTTGGGTTTGTTTTTGAAGGATGATTAGTTTTTTAAGCGAGGATGAAGAGACAATTTTGAACGGCAATATGGAGGATGGAGTTATTTTTGTATCAAAGTCTCATTTTCTCTTGAGAAGTTAAAAGAAATAGTAATATCATTGTAAATAAACATTTTTTGTTGAGGTAATAAGAATAATTTTTCTTATTATTTTATTTCAAAAAAAAATAATTCTTTTTTTTTTTTTTTATTATAGTCCATATAAGCTTTCAAATTTCCAAAAACACCAACTGCTGTGATGCTGATGAAAACTTGTATGCTGCTTTAATTTTTTTTATGGAAGGGTACCGGCAGCTTGCTGACAGTGGAGATGTTTCGGCAGCTGAGCAACAGTAACAAAGATGATTATCTAAGACACAGCTTTTAACTAGAGGATCTAAACCAGTTCATCCAGTCTGATCTGGATTGAGACGAGTACAATCCAATCATCGCTCTAATTTATGTTTGAAGCGATGAATACCCTCCTTCTATCATTCATTATCAGACATGGATCTCTAAACTTCAAATGAAATGCTGTTAACAGTATATACATATACATGTGTTGCCACCAAAAAGAATGGCAAGGAAATGAGTTTTCATGGTAATTTTTTGTGATAGGAAAGAAAAGAAGTCCCACATATATATGAAAATACAAAGATGAATGCTTGCTTAGTCCTCAAATTACAAGAATACGGCCCATCACAGATCAATTGTTCATGCAGCAAGAGAAGCCACAATTCCCAAATAGCTCGAGTTAAGTCAGCTCTTAAGGAAAAAAGAAATAGGTAAGACTAAAACAAATGTAGAAATATAATCACAAACAAGCAATATGAAAGTGAACAGTAACCCTTAATAGTGTCACAGAGAACTGAATATTCAGTCGCGTTACAACTCAAAATGGAATAGATGCATATGCAGCAGTTTCTGCTTAAATATTCATCAATCAAGAGTCAGAATCTCCGTGGCCGTCTTACAGGCTTCTTGTTACTTGGTACATAAGCAAATTGACTTAGATCCACTTCAACAGATGTCCTTCAATGAGTAACGAAAACAGTCATAGATAAATGATGGTCGTATTGGTAAAAGTTGGACATGAAAATCCGCAATATAATAGCTAATTTACCTGTTAGGACAAGTGTTCCGTACATCTTTCAAAGGGGCTCGAAGACCACTTGCTCGAGAACCAGTCGAAGAGCATCTAAATGATGATATCACGGAAACAAATCTTTCTATTGATTTCTCTGCTATTTCAGAATATTGGCTTAAATGTGAGATGTCTGCTCCAAACTTTCCTTCTCTTTTCATCTCTAGATGTGTTTCCTCATGGTTAGGATCACAATATCCTACAGGTAAAGAACAAATACAATATATTAAGTGTCTATATTCTCGTTATTAGCAAGAACAAGAGCATTATCAACATAACAGCAACAAAAATACGACCACCTCACTTAATCAACTTTTGACCAAATTTGGAAGGTTTTATGATATACAAAAATTTGTAGAATAATGCTCAATTTACTTGATGCATATTCTGTTCTCATGACATTTTAATGTAAATTTCCAATGATAAAATACATATTAACAAGATTATGTATCAAACGGATGAATCCACAAAAAGAAAAAAAGAGTATGTTAAGCAATCTCATTCGATACAAGAAAACTTCTTATAATTATGTTCAGCCAATAAAGTTGCAAAAATCATATAGACGTCCTTTTTTATCAGACAGGAAATTAAAGTTGTTCAGAACTCCAATGAGCCAAAATATGATATGCTACCTTAACTTCCATAACAACACTTAATTCCGTGGATCTAGCAATTGAAGCATATGTAAGTATAATACGGACATCACAAGGATCAAAAGCCACCATCACATAGAAAGATATAACTTATATTAGAAGAAACAGACACATAGAAGATACAACTTATATATTAGAAGGAACAGATGATAGTAAAGATGGAAAAGTATTCGTGAAACAACGAGCACCAACTTAGTCATAGATATCCTATAAATCAGCAAATAAATATTGTCCAAGTTAAATAAATCAGCCACTTGCTAGATATACCCAAAAAAAAAGTTCATGTATACCATTATCTTGAAGAGATGCATCACCTCGCATGTGCTTGGGATTCGAGTTTTCCTAAAATAGTAAAAAATTGAAAGACGTAAATACTAGTGAAAGAAAAGCCCAAAACAGTATTAAAAATGGATGAAAAAAATACCCACAGTTTGAATGAAATCAACTGGGGAAGTCTTCCTTTTTCCAGGTGCATTCTCCAGACAGCTGCTCCTGGGAGCAGCATTATGAAGAATAAAATTCTTAGGGCCACCAATTGAAGCATCATTGTCGATAAACATCTTTTCTTGTTTATCATCTTGATGATTCTCGCTTACTTGCTTATTCTGAAAATATTTACTCCTCACTATAACCTTCTTGGTCTCCGTTCTTGTTTTTCCCTCGACTGTATCTCCGATGTTTTTATAATCATGTCCTCTATCTGTTGCAATACAAGGTTTGTACATTGAACTCCCATATTCTAGCAGCAAAGTTGGTTTTGGACCAATTTTCTTAGATTCTACATCTTTTCCGTTGATTGGGAATTCTGCATATTCTGGAACTTCTGCAACAGATTCATTTTTGACCTATACAAAAGATATATAAAGAATAAGAACTAATGAACTAATAACTAAGGCCATTTGTCATTGCTCCAATTCACATAACTCACAAAGTTGTTAGCAAGGGAGTTATCGCCTGAATCTTCAAAGACAGGCAAGGATGCCAATGAATCATTTGCTCTGGAAGAAGCAGCCTCCACACTTATCTGTTCACCTGGACTATCTGACATGGTGTCTGTTGGACTGTCATGCTTGGGTGATGCACGAGGGGCCCTGAATTTTCTCTTTGCCTCAAGAGATGCAAAGCCTATAGGCGTTAAAGACAACTGGATTACAAAGGTCGTAAAACACCAGAAGAACTAAGAGAACAGTGATCAGATAGGAGTACTTATTAGATTTACAATCTAATACTTGAACCGAAATACTTGCACAAAAAAATTCAAGACTCTTCATTAGATTTACAATCTTCTGCCACGACTGAAATATAAAGAAATCCTTGCCAAGTTTCTTACTAAAAACTGATATTGTATCCATAACTCATCCCAGTAAAGCCATAAAACTGAGAAATTTTTTTGAAAAGTAAGAAAAATAATAGTCATCCCCAGTTTTCCAAATGCATGTATATTTGTGTGAAAATGCAGGATTGGGGGGGAAGAGAAAAAGAACACAAGAACTTGAAATGTTCCTATGTGGAACAGATGCTTCCTAATTGTGTTTCCTTCTCCTGCTAAAGCATTTAATAAAGAATAGGCAATTGCTGAATTTTCGCTACCAATAGGAAGGAAATAAGTTTTATTAGATGAAGAATGCTTATTTAAGAAATAATCAGAATAAATCAATTTGTAAGAAACAGTGAGATTGATGGATACAGAAATATTTGGTCAAGAGATTCTTCTGCACAGGCAAATCTAGGTTTTTCCTTTGACTTTCAGTTTTGAAACTTTTGAGAAGGGAATTACTATGCTGCACCAGTTGAGAAGTAACATTATCAACCTGCTAGTTCGAAGAAAAAAGCCATCATTTAAGCACCAGTTGTAACATGAAAAATGTAATTAGTTGCAGGCTAAAATGAAAACGGATAAAGAGAATGCCTAAGCAAAATGTAACTTGATTTACAAACCATATTCCTAAAAGTTAAAAATAATTTCTTCATGAATCTCAAATCATTACTATCAAAGATCATAAGTAGATTGTAGAGTTAGTGTTGTCCATCTCATTATATGTAGGCTTTTGTACTATTAGCATCCTAACAAATAACATGTTCTCTATTTAATGCAACATCTTGTAATCAATATTTTTCAGTGTAAGTAGGTTAACTACACCTTTTGACTCTTGTTGATACTAGTAACTCACAAAAAAGAGATGCATCAAGAATCCTCATCGAGTGTGTTTAACAGACATAAAAAGGGAAAAGACAGGATGCACCTGAAGTGGTCTTTGTGTAAATGGATCAAGATCACCAGTTGCTATAGCTTTAGCAATATGCTGTGGCATTAATGTATTCCAGGTCAAGGTATGATCCAATTTATGATAGTGAGGCACGATAAAACTAAGTATATAGTGAGACTAACCACAAGAACTTATATTAAAGTAGGATATGGGCCTAAAAAGTCCAGATCATCACCAAGGTTGTCACATATGTCAGACAAATGTACAATATCTTCAACCACTGGGTCATACACACGTTGATGCTGGAATGTCAATATTGCCTTTTTGAATGATTCTTCATAAAGAGGAGGAACTGAAATAGTGCTGTATCTCAAGTGTTTAATCACCTAAAGAGAAACAATGATTGCTTGGTATTGGTACATGGAACAAGAACTAGTAATATAGAGAAAAGATGTCCATGAACTGCATACTTAATAAAATTCACCTTGTCATAACTTTTCAACTTTTTCATAAGTGCATGAGCTCTTTTTAGCCCCATTCCCGGTAATGATTGCAAATAGTCACACCCACTCAAAATGCACATCTCAAGAAGCATCTGCTCAGTGAATCCAGCAAAAGACAGTTCCTTGTTCTTATTTAGCATAGAATATTTAAACTCTACACCTTGCCCAAACTTGTCCATCTTAAAGATTATCTGAGTAGAGAAAATTGTAGCATCCCAATTTATTAATCAGGTTAAGAATATAAATTGGTGGAGAATAATCATTTCTCTGGAAGTATTGGGGCAACAGCCGAAAGTAGTGTGAAGTGTGTATCAGTAATACTAGGTAACTCACTCTTGGACAGCCAAACGGTATAAGATCAGAGTCCTCAGTGATAACAGCATCAGCCTGCTTACTGACTGCCAAGAAGGTCATTTGGGCATCAGCCTCATAAGGAGCCACAATGTAACAAACATTCTCCTGCTTCAAAACCTTCCAAATGCAAGAATTTAAGCATTGGGGAAGATCACATCATAATGGATTAAGGAAACATCAACTGTTTGGAGGTAATATATATAAACTAAAATCTAGATTATCTTACCTGGATCAGTTCATTGGCAATATAAGGTGTAATATCAACAGCCTTTTGGTAGCATTCATAAGCAGCAGCAGAATTTCCATTTGACTCATGCTCAATTGCACGTGCAAGACTTTCCTTTCTTGCCCTGTATTTATAGGTATACACCCAATAAAAAGCTCTGAGGACAAGAATCTACAAGCAGATGAGTTGTCTAATAAGCCACGTTGATATGGCATGGGAAAAAATGCAGAAGGCCCACTCCTGAAGGGGCCCTGTTTGATGAGGAAGGGGAAGAAGGAAGAATTTCAATTTTGTGTCGGAAAATGTAACCAGATAGACATTTTAATAGGAATGACCTATGTGCATGGAAGCCACAGCAGCAGGAAGAAGCACTGGATCCTTCTCAAGTATTCTGATTTGATATGTTTGGGAGCAATTGGCTAGAAGTTGGTT